CATAGTATCGCCACGCATGTGCAATGATGCTCAATTATTGACGCAACACATATTTACACAGGAATCCCAATTTATTATTTTGAAAATTCAGTACAACATGGATCAGCTTGATGTCAAGCTAGGAAACGCGTATTGTAATATTTCAGAAAATAAGGTGCATATGACAATAGCCTTTGTAGATTTGTTAMATGATTTATTAAGTGATTGTGGGAAGTAGGGAGTTACGACCCCCTTACCCCCATAACACTTGATATATGGATAATAGGGAAAGAAATTTAATAGGTTTTGTGGAAGACTTATGATAATTACTTTCTTGAAGTATTTTGGGCGAAACTAGCTCCAAAACCCGTCAATGTGATAAAATAGATGTAGAAATTATCAAGGCATAGAATGCAAATCTTAAAACCATGAAACATATTTTGGATAAAACAATTATAATGCTTTCCATAGTTTATACAAATTGTAATGAATATTATTATCCCCGCCCTCATYATCCTCGAGAATGACCTCTATTTTCCCAAAGATGAGAAATGAGAAAGCATAACATTTTGGTTGCAAAATATATACATTTATATGATRAGTATGCTAATATATTTGTATAATTCTTACGTCGATTATCAGATTTACAATAGGTGGAGTTGTCAGGKTTTTTTTTCCTTCGGGTTTGCTGTGTTGGAACAAAAATGCTACCCGTACTGAGTAGGGTGAATGGTAAGCTTTCTCTTCGATCAGACGCACTCTCTTGCTTGAGACGCGGCACAGTTACAGCGGACAAATAATTCGAGTTAGTAGCAAAACGTTCACCTAGCGTTCGTCTGTGTCTTCCGTAAAACATACTCTTTCACGTGTATGAGTAACGCATCTCTATTTTCGTCGACGTATTCGTCTTCCGTAAAACATACTCTTTCACGTGTATGAGTAACGCATCTCTATTTTCGTCGACGTATTCGCAGCGAACGAATACGTAGAGTTAGTACCAAATCTCCCGCCAAGCGATTGCCGTTGTCTTCCGCAGAATATTTTCAGTAGCTCCTTACGGATGTCTTTCTTACGTACAACATCTTTCACGTATATACTAACGCATCTCTATTTTCGTCGACGTATTCGCAGCGAACGAATACGTAGAGTTAGTACCAAAACTTCCACCAACCGATTGTCGTTGTCTTCCACAGAATATTTTCAGTAGCTCCCTACGTATGTCTTTCTTGAGTACAGCGTAAACTATGGGGTTGTATATACTAACGCATCTCTATTTTCGTCGACGTATTCGCAGCGAACGAATACGTAGAGTTAGTACCAAAACTTCCACCAACCGATTGTCGTTGTCTTCCACAGAATATTTTCAGTAGCTCCCTACGTATGTCTTTCTTGAGTACAGCGTAAACTATGGGGTTTATGGACGAGTTTAGATGTAGAAGTATATTGGCCACTTTTATGGATATAAACGAAAACGGGCATACTTGAAATATCTGGCATATAGTGTTATAAACAGGCACAAGCCAACATAACGCAAAAAGTATGATAACCGCACCCAGCACCGCTACGGAACCTTCGCGGTTACGTCTCTCACGACGTTCTTTCTTCATAATAACTGTATCTTCCGTTGTTCCATTTGCATTTGCGTCATTGAAACGTAACTGGTTCGTGGTTTGGCTGGTTTGTTTGGAGAGTCTACGTGCGATGATATAAATACGTACGTAAATAATCAACATAAGAATGATTGGTACGATTACGCATATGAATATCTGTAACGGTTCGTATACACGGTTTGCTTCAGGAGCGTAATACTTCAAAATGAGATAAATACCTGCGATTATAAAGGGAATAATCCAGGCTAAGGCTATTATACTTATGACTCTCTTGTTATTCATATACAGAAAATACTTCAACGGGATAACAATTGATATGTAACGATCCAGCGTTAACGCGCACACGTTAAATACAGACGCAAAGAAAAACGTATTTATGAATACGAGGACAACGTCGAACCGTAAATCATAGATTTTCAGTACTTCAAATATGTACGTAGATGGTATTACGAAAACACCCGTCATGATATCSGCAACGGCCAGCGATAGAATGAAATAATTGTTCGTCAAATGRAGAGAAGGACGGCTTATTATCAAATACATCACAATTCCATTGCCAATGCTTGTTACTATGGAGATTAGTAAACTCACGACCCAGTACCATACGGGKGATTCTTGGACAGGCTGGGGTGTGGCTGTAGTCATCGACAAGTTATTCATTACATTCACTGTRGAMGACATTTCTGAAGATGTRGTTGTAGTGAGCAACACTAGAGATCAGTTGTATGATTTTATGGTTKGAAGATCRGTGYGTTCAGYTGTTCGATTGAATTCTTTGGTCCTGAAAGTAAAAAAAAAWTGACTCAATTAAGAAAGTMGAGATTGTRACTATCGAGGGCGTCGCCAATTTTTTACCATTTACCCTCCTGTTTGATAATCAGTACCTCGCGTTTGACCATCAACAATCCATCACGGATGTTAGCTATCATTGATCCTAGACTCACAGTCAGTAACTCCCACAATAATCATYAATAGTTTTTCCATTAGTAGCAAGTAGACGGAACAATTTACCATCATCGACAGTCATGAGACGTTAGACCTRGGCGTTTGATAATTGACAACTGACCGTTTACAAGAAAATAGAGTGAAATGTGGGATATGTAGTTATCATGGCACCTTTGACCAGGGCGAGGATAATAACGATGAAATTTCATGATATTGCGGCGAAAYTTAGCATCATCGATAATCATAGGACATTAGGCCTGGGTGCGCTTGATAATTAATAACATTACAAGAAAGTACCGTGAAATTTAGGTATTATCATGGCCGCACCTTGACCAGATCAGAGCGAGGATAGTAGTTGCTGAAATTCCATGATATTGCGACGAAAGCTAGCATCATCAACTATTATGGGACACTGATTTTACCAGATAGTCGATGACATTGCATGATAGTCGACCAGACRTGGGACGTTTGACCAACACGTTTGATAATAGCCCTGATTCTAGGACTTGATGTAGAGTTTAAAACTTGAGAGAGATGGTTTTGACTAGGACTGTTCTCACTATCCTAACATCAAAGCATTTCATCCTCTATTTCTTAGTATTTTTAGGGRAACAGAAACAATTCAGAGACGCAAAAACTAATCACCCTTACTAATATATACTGTACGTGGGTACGAGTACATCACTGACGTCACAACACTTATCTTGGAGGCGAGAGGGCATAATTTTATCAACTGCAATCCWAAAATAAAGTTTGCGGGAGTACATTTTCTTATATCGAATAGACTCTCTTGGCAATATCGATGGTACTTATATCAATTATAGCTGCGAGGGGACTAGTAGAATGAGTGATTATATAAATTGCTTTTCATTATCGTGTGTTTCTTTGAACTAAGCACAGTTGGAATTACAGTAAACAGCTCAAYCCGTGTGGTATCGTAACCTCGTAGGCTGCTTATCTTAGCTTCCTGACGTACACAGGAAACCCATAACRAAACCGCCTGCCACGGAGGTCACCCACCCAAAAAGGTGTTAACTTGCAGAGGAAGCTAGGAGTGTTTGTATGACATCATTACTTAGTTTTCATCCGTGTCACTCTTAAGAATGGACTACATACTGCTAAAACATCAAAAATTCATAACAAATATTTTGTTYCCTGACTGTATTTTACTTTTTGATTTGCTGCTTATCCGAAAAGGTCCGACTTAACGAACTTGTGTCGAAATTTGTGTTAGGACTAACCATGTTAAAAATAATGCGGTCGTATCTCCTTTAACCGGTCATCCTCAAGACTTTTCAAAGAGTTCGCTTAATAGTGGTCGAATAAAGGTTGAAAAGAGGTACTGTGACCGGCTTATAGAGGGTGTAACGTTTAATATTTGACTACAAAAAATGTTGTCATTAAAAATTGAACATTTGTACTTTTGTAAAAAGGATTTCATTAAAAATRCAAAAGTCAATAAACCCGAACGCTTTCTTTTGATTTTTTGTTTGTTTATTTATTCATTTTTAATGATATTTTTTACTAATGTACACATGTTCCATTTTTCGATAACAACGTTTTTGCGGTCAACCATTAAACTGTTAAAAACATGATGAAAACCTACAGACGCTTTGAACGTTGACCCTTCGTTTTTAGTTTCTATATTTTTAAGGGTGCTTAATTTATCACTTTGCGGGGAAGTCGAAAATCACTGTCACCTAAGTATGCAAATGCGCACTAGTCCACATGACTTTCCGTGTCTTTTTTTAGGGCTCAGCAGACCCGGTATTATTTAAAACAAAGGGAAAAAGTACACGTAAAAGGATGCTTGTGTCTAGTGATCAGCAGTAGGCTTTAGAAAACTGTTACATTCACGAATCAGTRCCCAAATACAAAGTTGCAGGATAACTTATACATAGTTGACTTGATATCGTGAAACCGCGTGGTGTTCAAGGATCTTTGAACTCACGAAATAACTCCAAAAACCTTAATTCATAGATTCATAGATTGATTAGACTAACTCTTTGAAAGCAAGGTGTGTTCAATTAGAGACGGAGAAATCTAAGCATAAACATATCTTCATTAATTTAATAGCTCAAATACAATCTAAACATTATTAACATAATCCAGTGAAAGACAAACAAGGATAGCCTTTGAAATGAAATATTTCGAAATATTTCAACTTGTATGGAACATCTCTTTCAGTAGATTCGATCATGTGAGCACTTTATGTATGGATGACCACGTTCTAAATTTGCCAAAAAGCATGGTCTAAATAAAGAAACAAACCAGCACAACATGTACAATGGAAAGGTCAAGCATTGCGCGCGATCATTCTAAAAACTTCATTGATTTCCGATCAATGCTTCGATTTAATGTTAAAAGTTTGATGTTGTTAGTGAAATCGTTCTAGAACKCCCCTTTGCGTGTTCTAAGTAAGATTCAAACGCATATAACAACTTCACCTACCTCTCAGCGATTCACTAATTGATGTAATGTTGCTGTTTGACTTGTATTGAAMTCTAGAACTTATGATCAACGATCTTAAGGCTTAAATTAAACCTTAGCCTTGATTCAAGTGAGATGACTTGACTTGAACTGGTTCTTATACCAACTAGCTGTTAAAATATCGACACCAGAGCGCTTCCCGTACACCGAAATGACGTACTGCCGTAGAAAGCCAATCCTTGACTGACCTGATTGTAATGCATTTACCGGAAACTATTTGCTATTGTTTACACTGTGCCCTTAACAATAGCTGCTGGCTTCAAGACTTTAATATTAACGCTACTTCCTATGCTTCATGGGATTGGACTGAACTTTTTAAAAGGATTTATAATGTTCTTTAAATTCCCCTGGTATGGTTTAATTAAATCCAATTTAACCTTGTCAACTTCAATGTCATCACATTACCTGAAGTCGAATATAAACTATGCAGACGTCTTTTGAATTTGTCTGTGGTTAATTAAAAAAATATAGCATTTTGTTTTGAAATTAAGACTTATATTTTTAGGAAACGCACTATTTTAGATATTATGTTTTTCTATCCCTCCTGTGGGTGCAGAAATTGCATACAGTTTCCTTGAATTTTTCTGTAGTTAAAGCAAGAAAATCTAGTATCGATTTTCACATTGAGACTTCTAATGTAATGAAACATTTTGGTTTTTGAAGTTTTTTTTCATCAAATTTAAATTGGTATTGATCCGGGTGGTCTCGTGTCATGGAAAAGTAAAGAAATTCAACCCAATCTATCAAGATCCACAAAACAAAGTCGAATCGTTTTGTTTACTTTGAGCTAGATTTGGGATGAGTGACTATTATTATCTTTCCATCATCAGAAAGGAGATTTCGTGACGATATAAATCAAATTAGTTTATCTGATTTACAACAATATATATAAGAGATAAAATAAAACTTCRCGAGGTACATGCAATTAAAACTATCAGATTGCAAGTAAACGATTTTTATTGCACATAATCATATTGTCGTTTTGGCCATTTACTTATGGTTGAATCAGATCGGCATAATCCGTGGCTCTTTTTGCAGTAAAAGTTGTTTGTYAAAAACAACTATCATGCTGAARGAAATAACTTGCGTGGAAATGTAATGGAAAATGCATGATTCGAAAAACTGTCAGCCGAGCGATCTTACAATCTAAACGTCATTCTTAACGATTGTCAGAAAGAATTGATACAAGTGCTTTCGATACATCAAAGCAAAGTTATTAAATAATCATTCTCAAGTTTTTGCATAATCTAGAGACTATAATTACATGGACGACATTTCTTGATTGCCTCTAACAGATTTTGTTAACGTCTTATGAAAGCGATCGATTTAGTTTCGTATACTTGTAAAAGAGCCACATTAAATAAGGCAATGGACTTCCTTTTCTTGACAGTGAAATTTTCAACATTTATGGTAACTTATCCTTTTTAAGATTTTTACAGACGAAAGTCTCTTAGTCAAGAAACAGATCCGGTGTCTGTTTGCGTTATTTCTCCTTTTCTGGCAGTTAGAGTGTTCTATTAAACACTCAAAATCGCAACTACTTCTCTTGAGGTTTTCACTAACAGATTGTGCATCAAAAGAACGAACGATTCAGTACTTTAATGAATGAGTGGCCTTGAGGGTAGCTCAGTTGTCACTTTCTTTCCTACCGTTTRAATGCAGTCAAAATGTTTCAATCAATTTAATGGTCTTGAATTAGAGCAGAGTCAATAGAGGGAAACTGTTCCCCTCTATTAACTCTGGTTAGAGTTACAATGTACAGATGATCRATCTTAAGGTAGTTCTCTCATGTTTCTCATGTTTTAAGTGCACCTTAAATGTTTTAATCACGTAATGGTAAGATAAGAAGACCTCTTTCAAACAAATAAACTGAACATTTTAAAATTTCTAATTGATAAAAATAAATTCTTTACTAATTACTTTACCTTTCCATGACACGAGACCACCAACAGATCAATCACAATTTAAAWTTACTGAAAAAACAACAAACGGTTTGTTTTTTCAAAGGTTTCTTTTATTACTTTAGCTACAGTTTCTGTTGCTTTGAATTGATCGAGGCTTGAACCAAAAGGAACGAATTCCTTATCATTTTTTTTCAATCATTTCAGTTTTCTTCCTCGCCAAACAGACGTARGAAACCAGGTTGTAAAAGTAGGGGCGGACCCAGTGKGCATTCACTGCGTGARCCGGAATCCCCTTAACGCCCAATATATCCAAAATATATAGTCATTTTGAACTAATATCTCACTCCCTATGATATAACCCTTATGATATAATGTGTAGCAATTAAAGTGTGACTTAAGCGCACTATCATATCATGTGAATGTTATTTCAGAATCATCAATGTGAAGCTCTTACATTTTTTATCCAATCTGTCRYTTTTTCATTYGGGGCAGGCATCTWAGTGACAAATTTCTGGAGCGCCTTCGTAAAAGSTTGCTCATCGTCTTTAAGTCCAAATGGACACATAGTCAAGTGCATTGATCAAAAAAGTATAATTGCTTTGATTCTTGGGTCTCAACGACTAAACTGCCTTTAATTCCGGTAATATAATACAAGAGCTTTCTTTAGCTATTAAGCTAACTTAAAGCATATGCTAGGGTCAAAACATTTTTCACTTATAACACCTTTTTATACAAAATGTATTTATATTATTCGTTTTCACATTTCCTGCAGCTTAAAAATCACKTTCCCCATGTTTTGAACTTGTGCTTTTAGTACGTGAGAGTATTCTCGAATGAGTAATGATCAACAATACTGACTGATTGAAGCAAACAAGGGTCTTTTATTTTTTGAGAAGGAAAAAAATGCAGAAGACTGGTTACTTTCTGAGCTGAATTACTTGTCTTGTTGCTTAATGATCGCTCTGTGGTGTGTAGTTGCTTAATCCACTAGTATTGACCACTAGAATGCCTTCTCTAGCATTCATTTTAAGTTTTATCGTCAAGTGGATGGCATTCTCAAATTACTCCTTGTCTCCATTCGTTTTTCAGTCTCATTAGTGTTTCTTAATGATCGCTCTGTGCTGTGTAGATGCTTAACCCACTATAGCACTGACCACTAGAATGCCTTCTCTATACATTCATTTTAAGTTTTATCGTTTGGTGGATATGCCACTACTAAAGTGCATTCTAAAATTACTCCTTGCCTCCATTCATTTTTCAGTCTCATTAGTGTTTTCTAGGTTATCTTGCGTTCAAAGGAAAGTGCTATAATTGATTATACTTTGCCTTTTATTGTGAAATTGATGCGTATCGCAATAACCTTCTAAGATGCAATTAGGCCATGTTGCTGCTTTTTTGCCACCTCGATGCATTTTCGAGGTCATTTTCCGTGATTTCTGCGTTAACTTGAGTTAAAAACACAACCACGTCACTTTTTTATCATTCTATTTATCTAGCAGTGTTTTTATAGCCTTATTGATATGTTCTGCAGTGGCTTCTAAGATGCAATTAGGTCATGATGCTTTTATGCCACCTCGATGCATTTTCGAGCTCATTTTCCGTGATTTCTATATTAAATTGAGTTAAAAACACAACCACATCACTTTTTTTATCATTCTTTGTATCTATTTTGTTTCTATAGTCAAATTGATGTAGTGGCTTCTAAGATGCAATTTAGGTCATGATGCTATTTTGCCACTCCGATGCACTTTCCAGTCTTTCCAGTTTTATTTGCGGTGATTTTTGTGTTAAGTCTACGTGTGTTCACTCTAGCTCATCTTTTTCATCATCTTTTTATATTTATCAGTGTTTCCAATTTTCTACGTTTTGCGGTCTTATTGATTTGTACATTTCAAATGCTTTTTAGCTTATCTGGTTGTGGTACGCATGAATTATCTGTATGATTCACCTCGGGGTCTTCATCCTGTAATGTTCATCATGCCTATCGCCTTTATGGTTTAATACAATCAAAGTTGATTATTGAAAAACYTACTGGATGATTTTAAGGGGCCTGTGTTAAACGCTGAAGCTCTCATGTACCGAATTCAAATGTAATATCGCTCAATTATTTCGGATCATTAACATCCATTTACACCCAATCCGACACGTGTGAAAGTCGAGGAAAACGAGACTTGAAATCGAAAATATTTTCAAATCCGATTATCAAWGTTCATTATAACTTGCCCAAAACTTAATTAACGTTGGTTCATTATAAGTATGTAGTCAACTCTTGGCTTAATAGGAATTAAGGGGGTATATCAAAATGCAAATCATGGATTACAAAGTATGCGTTTCCAAGTCATCGGGGTAGTTTCTAACCGCATATTCGTACGTGCATTTTTTGCGGAATCAATTGCCGTTTTTCAAAACGACATTTAAAAAAGGATGATTTTGTTTTGAGTGGACGATATGGCTAAACGCATGAAAAAATGTGYGATTTTCAAAATCAGATCCGGTTACGTGTAGACGCACTATTGAATTTCATCTCAAATTGGCATCCTATCCCAGTTAAAATGATACATTTAGTGATGTTCAATACCTTAGGGTCTTAAATAAAAATCGCAGCGATACAGCTGTCTAGTCCAACGATTTTTTTAACACACGTACAGAAYTATTTCAAAGGCATATGCACCTTTTATGCGATTCAGATGGTACGTGATATGATATCCCCATGGGTTTTTTCAAAATTGACTCCTAGTCAACCACTAACATTAAGTGCCCTCACATAGTCAGTCATCGACCTTTTCGACAAAATGGCGGACAAATTTTAATTACAATGGTTCCGAAGTGAATAACGAGAGTGATATTCGTGAACTCGTGAGTTTACGTTAGTCATAGTTAAGCGTTAGTGTACTACACTTTTTTATTGTGCAGTTCTCTGGTGTCTTTTCGATGCATTACACTTAGTGTGTAATAATCCTCTCACTCGTTCATGGAAAAATCTTCTATATTACATTATATAAGCAAGATAATACATTAGCTGGCCAAACCAATAGTGCTCTACGTTTTTCGGCCTTTTTGCGTATTGCCGTACGTATACCTTACGTATTAATCTACCATTTGCGCGCATTTTTCGACGTTAATTGTTAAAATCTAATCTATTGCACTTGATAGATGAGTTTTCCTTACCAGTGAAGTGTCTGCTTGTCACAATTCCTTAGTAATGCAGTTGTCAAGTTTGGCTGAGACTTGTAATCCCTGTAAAAGAGGGAAWGACACATGACAAGATGTTGGTGGCTTCGTTGGCGCATGCGCAGAAGGGATTTGGTATTCCTTTTTGTTGATTGGTATTTGGTTTCTGTGCGAGTTTAAGCACAACCACTGATACACAAAA